TACGGCTGTTGATCCTCTTTTTGCAGCTCGTAGCATTTTTGTGAATTCAAGTGTAACCACTCGCGATATTTGCATCATGGGTTGAAATACCTGGTGCTGCACGGACTTCACATTCCGCATTTCCCCTGTGTGGTCATTTGAGACTGCGAACTTGAACTTAGGTCCAAGATAATCCCACTTACCACCTGTACGAAAAACTCGCGTTTCAGCAGTTCAAAGAGCGAGATTAAATTCCGTAAGCGAAACGTTTGCGACTCAGTTGAGCGCGTTTTCAGTTTTTGTAAAAAGGCCGCTAAAAGAAAAGTATGCAAAAGCCAGGAAATTACTGGAGAGTCAACAGAGGTGATGCAATGGATATACAGGTAGCATGGAATGCATGGTCGAAATTTCGATTTTGAAGAAACGCACGAAATTGCTGTGCTGATTTTTTTGCACTTTCGCTAATTTTGGCATGTGCTGGGTTTGGACGTGCGCTGTTTTCGAAAGCGCTAAACTCTCGGGTCCCGGTCTGGGTGTCGTAGGTATCCCGAAACGGTCGCTCGGGGACTCGTCTGGGGACTGAGAAGTCAATTTCGTGAAGTGCCCGTCCAGCAGAAACGTTGAATAATTATCTCGGATATGCCCGACATTCTGCTTACATTGTTTCGAGACGGGTTCCTTGTAGTCGTTTCGAAACCCCAGGAGATAATTGCTGTTTTCTGGAGCGGCGCTCGACCGCCCCGAAATCCGTGTCGCCGGCGACGTCTCGATTGAAAAGCCTGGGTTGGACTAATTGCCCCGACGGGAAGCTGCAAGGGAACACCGGGATCCGGTGCTCGGGCCGTAATGGGATTTCCGTGTTGGACCAGCCGCGGAAATTCGGAGTGCTTGGAGTTGTTCGGCCGATCCATATCGATGTTCTCGTCGATTCTGTATTTTTTTTTGTTTCATCTTGGCATGTCTTCCGGCGGGTTCGGACAAAGGGTTGTCCGCGAGATGGGTGAATCACGAGGATTAACGACGCTGTTGACGAGTCATCTGTCGCCGGCTTGACGGCGGCTGCGGGAGCGCCGCCGGTTTTTTTCATAGCCGCTTGTCTCGTAAAATTATCGGACCTCCACAAATGCCACCCGCAGGATCACGTTGCCCCTTGTTACATAAAAAAAGGACCCCGGGGAATCACTTGGACCTGCTTGTCGCATATTCCGGGGCTCTTATCAGACATTCGAGAAGCCTCGCTCGACTATTGCAGTTCTTCGTTTCGGGACAATCCTCAGTTCTGATTTTCGCCCACCTGACATTGTTGCTTCATGCTTGAAGATTTGAGTCGTGAGCAGTGCAATGAGACGAATGTCCATCAAGAATCGTGAATTCAGGAACGTCGAACAGAGTTGGAACGTGTTTCAGAAAGAAAAAAAAAAGCATTTGCATTTAGTGCGGCCCTCGTGAATATGATGCGGGTAACTCGAGACGTCTGTTTGTATTTCGAGCCATTTTTCGAATGCTTTTACCTTGAGACTTGGGTTTTCTTCTGAGGAGCGAAGCGTGCTTGTTACGGTTTGAAGCTTTTGCGTCGGGATCCGGGTTCCTTGGGAGTTATACGTTATGCCGAGATTATTATAAGCCGATTAGACGCAGAAATGCGGCAGTTTGCATGCATATGAAGTGCTTGTAGTCGTATTCGTGACATTGAGCGAAGGCGGGCTCGGAACCACGGCAAGCTTTCTGGGAGTCTTTGATTCAGGTTGACCAAAAAGCAGGAAAATCGACCTGATCTCGAGGGACCAGTGAATTAGAATTTCTAGCTTTTGAAGGAGAAATGCCTCTATTTATGTGTGCCTGTTATGGTGCCTGTTATGACTTGTAATTTAGGAAATTGATACTGCACCTTACCTATCATTAAATGGCCGACCAATAAAGGCAAGTGCGAAGACTTTTTACTCGCCGAAACCCCTTTTTAAATTAATTTCTGTGGTGAGACTCTTCTTTTGATACTATTATCGTCGGAATTGTGGCGATGGCCTGATGTCGGACAATTGTATCTTGGGGTTCGAAAATTAAAATTGTCCCTAAGGTTAATTTTGTGCATGTTGGAACCCTTTTCTATGCGGTACTTTTCAGGCCTTTCTCGTTTATTATTTTTTGAATTGTTTAATTTATTTCTGGAGGAGCTGCTGACACCGCATTGAGATTAACTGGTATCACTTAAGGCCTAGAAGCTTTTCATCATTTTTGAAAATTGGACAAAATTTGCGTCATGGCCGTAATGTGCAACACCTTTAGATTTACTATGATCATTGGTAATTGTTGCACGACGTGACAATTTTGTGTTCATCGGTGCTGTTTTGGAAACGGGGAAAACGTTTGCTTACATTTTTCTAAATTTCTAAGGTTTTTGGCAATGGTAACAAAATACAGTATATTGTACCTTTATTCTCCTTGATACCAATTTGCAGACTTTTGATACACGTTGCTCTGGCGAATGAGTGTGAAAATGATATTGATTTTTCAAAGACCAATGTGGTACAGGATTTGCTCATATTTTTTATATTCTCTGCATTCCTGAGACACCACAAATGGTATGCCGGATTGCCGCAGTCTCTTGAAATAACTGCATTCCCGTGTACCGCTTTAGCGGATGAGCGTGAAAACCGCGATAAAAAATTTTCCAGCAAGTAATGACAAACCCAAATGACGCTGCGCTTCCGCGAGGTGAATCCAAGTATTAGATTGCCGCCAAGGGGAATTGATGAGCGAATCAAACAAAGAAAACCCCGTGGATTAGGATTTAATCGACAAACTGTGTGTCAACCGACAGACGATGAGACAGTGGCGGCGGAATTCCGAGAGTCCCATTCCGCCGCGGGATGTTTTGAGAGGCGGGCATCAATCTCCCGGCGGGTCCGCGGGAGTGACAAGACTCGTCCTGGGGTTGATGCAGGGTGGGAAACGCTGATGAGATTCTGAAGGTTTAATGACCAATTAGCTGCTTGTTATCACCGGAACCCGCCGAGCTGCGGTACGGGCGATGAGTTCGTTTTAGCTGTCCCGAGTTGGCAAACGCGGATTTATTTTTATTTTCATTTTCTTCTCCCCTTCGCGATTTCGGAGAGAAGAATCACTGCCGTTCCGGAACATGTCGGGTTCTTCCGTAGGATAATCCCGGTGCTTCCTGTCTAATGAAACTACTGCAAGAATTGCCCTTGGAGTCGTTGCAACTTTCCGGGTATAATTGCGCAGGACTTCCGCTTCTGGGATTCCTGCGGAAGAGGCTATTTAGGGGCCCACATCTGGAATTACTCCGTAAATGTCTTCGTGCAAGATTTCTGTAGCATTGACGGGCCTGGAAATATTTAGTGTTTTCTTTCCTTGAATCAATTCACAACTGATTTTTCCCAGCGCAGTAAAACATCGATTATTTCGACCGGGCTTGAATTTAATGACATTGTTCGGAACTTTTAATCTCGTCCACCGGCCTAATTTAAATTGACTTGTTCCGCTGGTCAAAATTTTATTTTCTTACGTGCTTTGAGATATTGTACTGCATGCGGTGATGCCTTGCATTTTTGAAAGTCTTCTGAATTAAATTTTCAATAATAATTATTGCAAGAAATAAATCCCGTTCGTGTCCCGGATAATCGAAGTTATATTGTATCTCTTCCGTCTAACTCCGTAAATTTTTGTTCCCCAAAAGATCCTGGGATTGACGCAAATTTGATCATTGCCAATTATTCGGGGGTAGATCGGGGAATTGAATTAAAGTTCATTATTCCAAGTGCAGTATAAAATCGAACGAATGAATCCGATACCAGCTCTCATGTGTCGTTTAAAAAGTTGTATACACATTATTAAAAAAATATTTTTTTTCCAAAAATTTCTTGATTTGGTGTGCGTTGAATATAACTTGAAGCTTCAATACGGTATTGAAAATCCTGGCTCATTGACATGCGCTTCTGAGTTATAACTTTTTTTTTTTAATGAAGCGTGGGCAGCAGTTAAAGTTGCGTTTTTTTTTAGGTCTGGTGCCGGAGACTTTTTGCGGTTCATTTCCCGCGCGCCTTCAGCGACCGAGTTTGCACTTCCGTATCCCGCTGTAGGAATAACTCGGAAAAATGTCGAGTCGCCAGGAGTCTGGTAAAAACTGTCTGCGCGCTTCCGACTCCGTTTGCTGGCGGCGACACTTCTACGTCACGGGGTTCTGTTCTTCCTTTCCTGACGCCATGTGATCTCCAAGGAAGGAAGAAAGAACGAAAAAAAAATGATTGATCCGACATAATCACAAGGTTTCTCTGTTTCTTCGCAGTGGGATGTGAGAAGTTTGAGTTTTTTGTGGTGTGTTTTCTTTTTTTCCGTTCGATTTGCGTTCCGGCGAAAATGCGGGTGCTCATCGCAATATTTTTCTGCCTGTTTCGCGCCCACGCCAACGACTCGGACTATGAAGGTGAGTTCTGCAAATTTCTTTTTTCTCGGCAGTCGTGTTACTTCCAAAATATTCCGCCTACTTATTCCCCTTCGGATAACATGTTTCCCAATACCGTATTTTTTCCGATCTTGAAATTACGACCTTGGGAAGCACAAGTTTTGGAAATTCCTCTGTGCCGCCGTTATAGAATGCACACCCTTACGATTAGAAAGAGGCCCATTTTGATTTATGAGCAGTTCAAATATAATTTTTCGATAAGAAACGCAAACGGAATATGTACGTCGTGAAATATTTCGATTTCCAAAACTTACTGAATCAGATTTCGTTGAGCAATGATTTTAGTCAAGCAGCGAATTCAAAGTTGAAGTCAATTTTTGAAGCATTACTGTATTTCGTGGCCCTCCATTGCTCAGACAATTCAAGGGACTTTTCGCACTGAATTTTTTTTTAGTTACATGACACTATGAGCGGTGTGAGGCGAATTTAAAATATTGAATACCTTGACTACGCTCGAAGTGTTTGCCCTTGTGGGGCATTCATTAACACGAGTATTGTATCGCAGGTTTTTTGAAAAACTGTTTTCTAGACAATAATAATAATGCGACTCGTCGTATCCTCCGGGAAACGCGATAGCGTAACAAGAAAACGAGGTCGTTCCAAATGCAATTGCGAAATCAGCAAAAGCCTGCGAGTCATTAATCAGGAAAGAAAACGAGTCTCGTTGTCTACGACGTCGTTGTGCAGGCAGACGTCTTCCCGCTGTAATCTAAAACGCGCGATGAGGAAATCGCGTAACCGTTCGGCCCGGAAACGTTCTCCCCGGCACCCGACTGACGAAATTCCTCGCCATTCAGGAGGGTCGTTGTTGCCCGAGCACTTGTTGCCCGAGTCTCTGGAAGGGTCAGCAGCGCCGGTCTTTCTAGAGGAGCCGAAGGACGCGTTCGTGATCCGGAACCGACCTGCGCGACTGTACTGCAAGGCCGCGCATGCGCTGAAAGTGTACTTCCAGTGCAGCGGAAGCTGGGGCAAAGACAAACACGAGGAAAGTGGGCTCGTGGACCCGATGACCGGGATCCGGCAGACAGAAAGCCACCTTGACGTTCCTCGCAACGCCCTGGACCAATATTTCGGCAAGGAACCGTTTTCTTGCCGCTGCACGGCCTGGTCATCCACGGGCGAGGTCGTGTCTCGGAAGGCCACCATCACCGACGCATGTGAGTACTGTGCCTTTCTCTCACTTTCCAGCTCGCGATTTCTCAACCTCTGCTCCGACAGAGAAACAGTTATCAAATTGAAGGACGAGAATGAAAAGTACTTTCAGTTTACATTTGCGCTTGGAAAGAAAAAATAAACAACTCCCGCAGAAGGGCGCAAACAAGTAATGTATGTGGCTCCTTTCTAGAAATCGGCTCAAAAATGGGTCATAGAGCCGAGAAAGGTTGAACTCAAGCCTCAATTGTCGTCCTGTCTTATCTATTGGCACATCACATTAGAAAATATTATATGCTGGGATTTCAAATTCAAGCTGGCATATTCTGTAGCACGTTACCGTACATATACCGTACATCCCCAAGACAATGTTCGAAAAATTATGCGTTCTCTGAATTTCCGAAGCGCTTGTTTTTCAATAGGTCGTATTTTAGGGAAACCCGGGGGCAGTTTTGAGTTTGTTTACGTATGCTGTGGCTCTTCATCGAATTTCTAATTAAATGTCATATCCCGAGAGAAGCCATGGGATTCGCGTGAGAAGCGGGGAATGGAAATGTTTTCCACGAGGAAATTCCATGGGTTATCTCAGAAGAATACTCAAGAATGAATGACGGAGAATCCCGACGTTTACCGAGATTTCCCTTTTTCGTCTGATTAAACGCGGTAATGGGTTGTCGGTATGGGGATAGCAGGAACTCGTAACCCGTGCAAAAGGCATGCCGGACACCGGGGAACGGCGGAAAATGTTTCTTTAAGCAGTTGCGAGTGACGAGCACCTCCGTGGGTGTCGGAACCAGGACAGGGGGGGGGGGGTAGGAGGGAATCAGGCGGGCGGAAAATGCGCGAGAGATCCTCCTCCGGGGGGGATCCCCGGGGTTGATGGCTGCTATCATGCCGAACGCGGGGGCAAATTACCGAACGAGATGAAGACTCACGGCGCACACAGCTCCCATTGTAGGCCCCGGGCTCTGGGACTGAAATTCAATATCCATCTTCGTCTCGACGAGGATTCCTGGGGTCACGGAGCTCTTCTTCCCTCGTTCCCTTGCCACAGAGAAAGGAGCCTCCCGAGATTTATTTTATTCTAGTCTTTACCTTTTGTTGAGGAATGCCAAAAGGCTGCTTCTATAGTTCGCATAGCTCTGCGCGCTTGGTTTTATGATCACTCTGAAATTCTCTTGCACTTTCGCCGTCGGGAAACCTCGTCTTCTTTCATAGTCTCCTTGAAACGTGAAATTTATCTGTTTGGTCTTCAGAAAATGTTCGGAAAGCTTTTCGAATAATTACCTCCATCGGGAAATGATACTCCCAGAGACACCGAACGCTTCTTGGGAGATTTTCGGGCCTTGTCCGAATCGCGCCAATTTGGCACACAAAATATTATCCACATTTATTGCTGCATCCAGCGGAAATCTGGAAATTTCAAGACGCCCTTCACGACCTTTTGAATGCCTTCTGGAAATCTCCGTCGAGCATAAGGCTCAAGCAATTTTGGGTCCCTGCTCCCGTCTGCTTCCCCCAATACTGGGGTAACAATCGCGACTGTTGAACCCCCAAGTGGAGGTATTTTGAGAACTCCTTGTTCGCGTTCACTGGGATTGATCGGCACTCCAGCCATATGCCTTTTCAGCGAAGGAGCACATCCAACATAGCTGAAATAAATTTAAAATAACTTCGATAATACGGGCTTTAATCACTTGTCCACATGTTTTGAGTGCATCTGAGGACAAAACTAGCCTATATAATTTGTAAGCTGCTTTATTTTCCTCAGATTGACCCCTTTTTTCGTTGGAAATTTATCCAAAGAGCACGATGTGCTTCAAAAAGCTTACATATGGCTAAATAAAATATTTGGTCTCACAGGAAGCAAACGTATCACAGGCCTTGCAGAAGAAGCTCATTATGATAACTGGAAAATGCGCTGCTTTTATAGATGTGGAGGAATGTATTTAATACAGTATCATTTCACATAATTGTTGAAGTGCTTTTTTGGTATCCGGACGATTACACTTGGTTGGTAACTCTAATAATTAAGTTTCTACTCGATGGTGTATTCGTTCTATTACTCGGGTCGCTTGGACATGAAACTAACGCCCTTCAAAAATATGATGTTTAAGAAATCTTGTTCAATGTCCTTATACTGTGCAGCATTTTAATTCAGTATTATAAATGGGTGCTCTGGCTTGACGCCTCTGTTAGTGTCAGATTAATAGCCGCAGCTTATAAACTTAACGAAGCTCCCGGTCAGAACTTGATTATAGTTCATAGGAGATTCCTGGCATGAGTTATTCGGCCTTTTTTTCTTTCTCGAGTCGAAACTCGTTTTTTCATGAACCTTCTTTTAGATTTAAACCCTGCCGAGGCGTTGTCGAATTTCTGGAACCATTTTTAACTAGATTCGGAACTCCGTCTTGAAGCGTTTTCCTCCCTTCCTTTCTCCATTTTTCTAGTTAATGGATGATCTTGCGTATATCTTCTGAAAATGAATGGAAATCTATGCGTATCGAAGACACTCGAGGGAATTCGGGGAGGCATAATGGAAATGTCAATGACTGACGTTTAATTTCCGACCTGCGATGAGGTTTTTTTTTTTTTTCCTGCTCCCTTGCCGAAGACCCTCTGCAAGGTTTTCCTGTGTGTTATCAAAACGTACGAAGCCAATCCTATTCACACCGCACGGTTACTGCCGAAAAACAGCAGTTTCAAACCCCTCTCAGTTTCTTTACAGAGCAAGATGAATACCGTAGAACTCCTTTATGCCCTCGAAACGTATTCCAGCATTCGTGTGGCGAAACAACGTCTTTCTCTCTTGTCTTTTCTAAATGAGCTATTCATAATATTCCCCCTGCTGGCGCCATTTTCAAACGCCTCTATTTTTAAAAGCCTTCATTTCTAAAACATACCCTGCCAACGCTTTAAGTTCAGTCAAAATTTGATTCCAATCATGAGATATCGGACCTGTTGCAGACACGGCCCATTTATGAATTTTGAAAAGGAGACTTCGTTCTCATAAAAAGAAGTCTCACTACCTTACTTATGGATGAACAGCGCAGTGTTATGAAATTTTATTGAAAATTTATGAACGTGCACCTGATGGATTTTGGATTGTTGTTTTTGAGTGCTGCGCCTCTCAATGCTTCGGAATTATCTTTTCCTCACGTTTCGCGCTATTTGCATTCTTAGAGACCCAGAGGATTCAAGGAGATTATAGTTTGTTTGCGTTTTGGAGGCTCTGGCAGATTCGGGCTTTTTGCGAACATTCAGAAGATCGGAGGACGATATTTACCGAGAGATCACGAGGTCGTCTGACTAGAAGCAAAGATCCCCGAAAGAAAATCTGTCTGGGCGAGTGGCAGAGAATTTATTGAGCGAGGAAGGATGTAGTATATCGGGATTTTGCCCCGCATATGATATCCCGCCGGAGTGGATCTTTGTTGAAGCGGGGTTTTACAGTCCCCGTCGGAGGGGATCACCGTGACGTGTCACGAAGTTTCAAGAACGATCCACTCTCGCATCGGAAGTTTGTGATCGAACGGAACTAGATCACGGCTTGGATATCAGGAGGGGAAGGGGAATCGGTGGGCCAGGCGCCGGAATGAAATCTCGTTTCGACATACTCATCACGACGTTAAAGCCCCGTGTAAGGGGTTTTCCCGAGGAGACCCCGGAACTTCATTTCCCCCCTTTTCTCTCTCTCTCTCTCCCCCGCCTGCATCAAAAATCAATCTGCTGCGTCGCGCTTTTTGCTCCCTAAGGCAGCAAGCGAGCTCATGAATAACCAACGACGAACCGAGACCCGGCGTGGGGTTCCCGGGATGCCTCTGTAGTCTGTACCCGTGGGTTCTGTGCGGAAAATCGAGCGTGTAATCTTTAATTGACACGGAGATGATGAACCCGGCTTGTTGCGCAGGTACGGCCATTATCCCGTCCCTCACCGTTCTCCGGAAACACTGTGTTCTAAAGAGGCTCATTTTCAACCATTCTTATTTTCCCCTCCCGACAAACTACGTCCAAGGAAGATTATTTGACTTTAATTGGGCCATAGTTACCCCAAGTGGAGCACCGGGAACTCCATTAATTACGCGATTACCCCATTTACTATACCGTAAAACGCATTTAATTTTCCGAAAATGGGGTTAAAAAAACAGGGTTCGTCTCACTTCTGACGGCGTCTTGATTTTGCGGGCAATGATATTTCAATTTAATGAATTCTCACTCTCATTTTCAGTTTGAGGACGACATACATCTTGCCCTCTGTTGGTGAACGAAGCATTAAGAAAATTAATACTAAAAGTGCGTGTTACATTTGAAATGAAAAATTTCTTAAAATTTTGAATTACAAAAATAGAGGCGCTTCTTATATTCGAGCGAATGGCTTATAGCCCTGATTCTTATTTTGGGAACTTGGGAAATACAGTATGTATGTTAGGATCTTCGTGGGTTTTTATAAGGGGAAAATAATTCCTGTACATGTGAACGCATGTACAAGTCATTGTAGAAATTCATCGCACCGAGTCATTGGCTTGGTCAAAATTTCAAGCAAAACCCAATGCTGTATAGGGAAATTCCTTCAAGAAAATCTTCAGTTTCTTTTCAGAGCGCTTTAATTTTAATACCGCTGCGGTGATATTGCCAATGACAATGATATATACGAAAATTCCGCGGCCAGTGACTGATTAAATCTTTAAAATAGGCAACGCAGTATTACCTACCGACGAAATGAATAGATGAAACGCTGGAATGAATGAAGAAAACCACAAAAGCCTCTTTTGATGGATTTTGATTAATTTTCATGGGGTTTCTGTTGTCACGCATGCCCTGGTGTGCTTTAATCAATCTACTCCGTCTTTTTTTTTTAGTTAGCTCTTCATCACTTCTAAATCCTGTATCGATATGGTGTTCTCGATCAAAGTATGAAATCGAAATTAGCTTGTCCTCACAATTTCTGTCGCCATGCCGGCGCTTCATTTCAGAAACTCGGAAAGAGCTCGTAAACTTTGTTTGCCAGGAAAGACGAAGAGCATCCGCCGCTCGTAAACTTTCCAAAACCTCTTCGGATTCCTCGATCCTATTTTGGAAATTTTCC